AGTATTTTTGGTCTATTCTTAGGATAAAAAGTACAGAATAATCTCTTGTGATTTTGCTCTGAAATGAGTAAGGTGAGATTTATTTGGTTGCAAGGTGTGTGATCCACTTGGATAGAGAATAAATGAATGTATTGCAGGGCACTTGAGCCAGTAGCTCTCACCATCCCCTCATGGGCCTCCATGCTCTCACCTTCTTGTGTCTCTGCCTCTCTCTGAAGCTGCTCTCCGCACTAATTAGCGTTTCTTTCTACTGACCAGATTCTTCTGCTGACTCATGGTTCTTACTTCCTCATCACTTTAGCCTGCACAGACACAGCTCTTGTGAACACGCCTCTTCCAACTTCATCTCCCAACTTGAACTGGCAAATCCCTCCCATGTTTCTTAGTTTACATCTTTGACAGGGGCAGACTGGTCATTCCAATTGGTAGTTTTGAGCCAGATTACTCAGAATCAAGGGCTAGCTGTGAGGCAGCTGTGATCAGGATGGGGGGATGTCATGTGGAGCCAAAGAAAAACACCAAAAAAGCAAGAAGCCTTAGCGGTATGGGTGAGTGGGGCAGGGTCTGTGGTCATCTTGCACATTCAGAGCTGCTTCCTGGGCCCGTCTTTCCCCATCGGCCCTGGTGAAAACAGACTCGGCAGGGAGGCTTAGTAGATGCCATTTTCAGGTCATGTGAATGTTCCTGTTTCTTGTGATACCAACTCTTAGAAATTTTCAAAGCTTTGTAAGTAAGGCAGAAAAAAGTCACCTCTTCTTCAGTAAGTTAGGAAGTAGAAGAAATCATGATCTGAAGAGGCAACAAGTACTGGCAGTGTCGGGGGCACTGGCAAGCTGATCTGTGGGGGACAAAGAGAAAATAAAGGGACTATCTGAAGAATCCGTTTTGGATTGAGAAATGGGCCCCAAGGAGGCCTTTCAAAACTATACCCCTAGACTCACAGCTGTCCTTGTTCTACCCTCCTCTGCCCACTCACAACCTAGAGCTGTATTGGGTCCCGTAGATCAATAATTTAGGTACCCTATTGCTTATATAAGCTAGTCTGGGAAATTTGCCAGCATTTATGACCTTTCTCCTATAGAAAAATGCATCCTCAGGGTTGAACAACTAACTGACTTACAAAAGGACTTGTGGAACACAATTGCTGCTAAAATTCGGAACTGCCTATAAGTGCACAGCAGTCTGGGACTTTCACTTGGGAACCAATAATCACTAGAGAATCAACAGCTCTCGGGAAGAATCTCCTACTTGCCTTTTCCTCAATCTACTTTGCTCCAAGAAAGAAAGCACTGACAGGGTTTCCAGTCAAGTTTAAAGAAGTGACTTTAACCATGAGCTAATAGAGATTTTCATGGTTTCTTGTAAAGGGATAAAAAGTAATTTCAAATATTGGGGCCAAAGTATTAAAAGAGTGGGAGCTGCTCTTTTGGGAGAGAAAAGGCAGCCATATCTCCTAGCCCCTTCTGCTTCTATCTAGCATCCCGGAGCGGTAGACAGGCAACCTTCGTTCCCCTCTCTCGTTTATGCCGTTCTGTGCTCCCCCAACAGTGTGGTTATGTCAGAAGGGGCAGGATAGTGCTGCCTAGTAAAGAATGTATTAGGTAGCTTTAGGCCAAAAGAACTCGAATTTAAATATGATCAGAAACACCTGGTGAAGTGGTACATAATCCAGACCCTCTCCTGGAATTTGGTCAGCAGGTCTGGGGTGTGTGCCCAGGAACTTGTATTTTTAAACGAGGACCCCAGATGATGCTGGTGTAGATAGTTTATGTATCATATTTGAGAAAGAAAACCTGGCCTCTGGGGCAGAATCTGACTCTCCTGCTAAAATAAGGTGTGTGTGTGTGTGTGTGTGTGTGTATCTGCTTTATTTCTGGGCTCCAATAGAGTCTCTTGCCCAAACAAAAGGGTTTGCTTCTACCTGGCTTAGAAGAGCTCAACATTTGAATTTGGGGCCAAGGCCGAGTGAGTAATAGCTCCCACTATGTAAGCCATAGACCTCTGAGCTAGAACTTCCTGTGTAGAGCAGTAGTTCTCACACTTATTGAACCTTGGAACTACCTGGGAAGCTTTAAAAATACTGATGCCTGGGCTCCACCTCCAGAGAGTCTTATTTCATTGGTTTAGGTACAATCTGGACATTTAGGATTTTTTTTTTTTTTTAAGTTCCTCAGGTATTTCTAATGTGCAGTAAAAGTTGAGAACCACTGTGATAGGGAAAATGACTTTTGCTTTCCTGGAGCCCAGACTAAAACCAATCTTTTTTTTTTTTTTTTTAAGATTTTTTTTTAATTTTTTTTTATTGGGGAATTGGGAGGATGGGAACAGTGCTGGGGAATTGGGGGAAGGGGAACAGACAAGTTGCTGTCCTTTTGTTCTTCAGTCTAGTTGTGGAGGACGTTGCTTCACTGGCCCAAGTTGGCACCATCATTGTGCTCTTCCCGGGAGAGGCAGATCAGTCGCCGGCTTCTGGACGGCCGCTCACTGCGGCTGCTGGCCGCTCACGCTGGCTGCTGGCTACATATGGTAGCCCATGGCAACCCACTGCCACAGGGACTGCAGCCTACGCCGTCGCTGGCGACCCACGGCAGCCCAGCTCCAGGTTGAGCTGTTTAAAACCAATCTTAATATTACCTCTTTAACATGCTGGACACCATAGAAGAAATATTGATATTTGCATTTCTGCAATGAAAACAAAACAAAAATATCAACAATATATAAAAGATAGTATTTTGAATAGTGGTTATCTGTGAACATAGTCATGGTACTGAACATATTCTTATATATTTTGTGTCCTTTGGCAAGAAAGAAAGGTATGGCATGATGTAACTCAGAATTCTCTAAGGCTTTAAAAGCTTTCCCTAAAGAAACAGGAAACTTAAACCTTTATGCTTTCTTTCGCTTTTTTCTTGAGACCTAGCTGATCAGATTCAAAGGTACAGTATTTCAGGAACATCTACTGCTTGATTCTTTTTCTTTTCTAGAAATAGGTGAATAAATTTAACAGCAAATGTATCAGTCAGCTATAGCTTTTGAACAAATGGACAACTGAATTCTGATCATTAGAGGAACAACAACTTTATTAAATCTGTGATTTTCTGGTTGTTTCACACAAGTTTATGACTAGTTTGCTTTAAGTTGTTTTTTTTTTCATAATAATCTGTGTATTTCGATCTTGTGAAAATTAAACTTATCTCTTGTCTAAATACAGTGAAATTCTGTATTTAAGGATGATGAAGTTAATGTTAGAAATAGGTTCCAGGGGCTATGTCTGAGCTAAGTTGGGTCCCTGCTGAAAAGTTTAAGAGACTGTAAGCCTGTGCCCAAAATTAAGAGTTCTACACTGGGGGTTCTTGGACAGAGCAATCCATGGAATTTGGGGAGGTTTACATACTCTCTGAAACTGTCTGTGTAATTTTAAATGCATATGCTTAGTTCTATTTTCCTAGGAGAAGGCCCACAGCTTTTATCAGATTCCCAAAGGGTTTATAACCACAAAAGATTAGGATCCAGAGATCCATATATTAAATCAGAGAATTCTTCACTCTAGGCCCCTTCAACACAGTGCTACTAAGAACAAGATATAGAAAAGGAAAAATAATAATATTCAACATTGCTCCTCATCCCTGCTCTTCTTTGGGCCAGGACTGTGGATGTTGATGTGAGGTACTGACAGCTGTTGTGTCTTAGCTCTAATTGGTTTGCTATAAATGAGCAAGCATCCAA